AGCCGGGTGGCTGGTGCAGAAGGGCTGCCTTGCTCCAGCCTTCGCCCCCCGCGGCACAGCGGCCTTCCCGGACACCCGGTCAGGGAGGAGACCCTCCTGCTTCTTCCGCCTCTCCCCGTCCCTCCCTCCCTCCCTCCCCCTTTCCTCCCTTCCTTTCAGCATCTTTGTGGAGACGTCATTTACCTGTCCTCTATTTCACTCACTTAAAGTGTACAGTTCAGTGTTTTTAGTCTGTGGAGTTGGACGATCATCACCATAGTCAATTTTAGAGCATTTGCCTCACCAGCCGTGACTCCCCAGTCCCTCCTCCCCAGCCCCTGGCTGCCACTCATCTGCTTTCTGTTTCTGTAGACTTGCTTATTCTGGACATGTGCTTATTCATGTGTGTGGGATCATATGAATGTGGTCTTCGTGACTGGTTCCTTTCGCTGCGCGTGATGTTTCCAGGCTTCATCCACGTGGGAGCGGCTGTCAGCCCTTCATTCCTTGTTGGAAGCTGACGGTATATTCCGGCGTGTGCCTGGTCACCCACCGATGGGCCTCGGGACTGTTTGCGCACTTTTGCTCTTCGGAGTTGAAGCCGTTGCATCCTCTTCCCGGCCCCAGAGTCCCCTCCACCCCCAGCCCTCCGCTCCCATCCTGTTCTCCGTTTGTTTTCATCACCATCATGAGCTGGGAGTTTTGACCACCATGTATGTATCCGACACGGTAGATAGTTTCATTTTCTCGTTTTAAAAACATTTTATAGATGACATCATACTGTGCATATTCAAGTTACTCTTCAGTGGTAGGCTTGTAAGTTCCCCGATCTTGGTTCTTGTAGTTCCTTCGTTTTTATTGTAGTTAGTATTCCATTATAGGTGTATGTTCCAGTTTGTTTATTTGTTACTCAGTTGATAATGGACAAAGGGATAATGTGAATTCATTCTTCAGTTGATGATGGATAAAAGTTTTTCTTAATTTTTTTTTTCTTTTTAGCGTTAGTGACATCGCTGAACCTGCCTCCTGCGTCCTTACACAAGGGGTTTTCATGGCGTGTGCCTAGAAGTGGCATTATGTCGTGTGTATCTGCTTTTTGTGAGGAATCACTGGGGTCCTCTTTAAAGCAATGAGTTACTGTGGTGTTTTTAAGCAGTACAATTCATTAAAAAGTTTATTGGTGAACATATTTTTTAAAGAAAGATTTCATGATGTGCTACTTATTCTTTTAAAATGGCTTTAGCTGAAGCCTGTTTTTCTTTTTGGCTATGCAAGACCAGATAAAAATGCAATTTTAATAAGATAAAATGAGATGCCTTTTAGTCTGAGCTTGAACTTTGCTGGAACATTTTCTGCTCAATAAACACAAGTGGTGTGCCCATGAAGAATTAATGCACTGGCGCTTTCCTGGGAGGCAAGGGGCCTGCAGCGTGTGGTAACACTGCAAGACCCATGGAAATGCCTTGCACATAGAGGGCAGAGGCCCACTGCCTGCTGGTTTTGAGCCCTATTCGTGTACTGAGACATAAGGGAAGGGTGCAAGCCAGCAAGGTAGGTGCATAGTACCGGTGAATGCTGTCTGTAGGTCACTTGGCGGTAGTCAAGCTGCTGCCATTTATGGCTGTCTCATTTCTTACACGTTCTTATTCCCATTTCCGAGACGAGGAAGCTAAAGCCTAGAGCAATTACCCAGGCCCTTTGGTTCTTAAAACAGGAAACCTACCAAGGTCGGGGAAGCCTCCAAGAGATTTCTGGAAAGGGACCACGACAGAGGGGTTGTGCATGACCTCCGTGGGCTGATACTCTTTCTTTCCAACAACAACAACAAACCCCCAAACCCTCCTGGATTCTGTGGGTCAGACTGGTCTCTTTTCCATGGTGTCACTGGGAAGGTTCAGAGGCTGGGAGGGAAATCAGAAGAAGGCTGGTGACTCACGCCTGTCGAGGTTGATGCCGGCCATCATCAGCTGGGACACCCCCTGGAAGCTGTGGTTCTAGTGCTTACATGTGGGCTTCTTCAAAGCCTGGTGCCTGGGTTCCAAGAGAGAACCCAAGAGAACCAGGTGGAAACTGTGCTGCCTTTAAAAGCTTACATCTTCATTGAGACTCACATATAATAATAGTTCACCCATTAAAATTCACGTACAACACCATTCCCTCATTTAAGGGGTGAAAGTCAGTGGTACTGCGGTGTATCCGTCGCCACAGTCAACGTTAGAATATGTTTGTCCCCTCAGGAAGAAGCCCTGTAGTCTTCTGCTGTCACCCCAGTCTCCCATCCTCCACCCCAGGCAACCACTAGTCTCCCTTCTGTCTCCCTTCTAGACATTTCATGTCAGTGAGATCATAGAATAGGTTTTTTTTTTAAAGATTTTTATTTATTTGACAGAGAGGGAGTGTTAGAGCAGGAACAAGCAGGGGGAGTGGGAGAGGGAGAAGCAGGCCTCCCTCGGAGCAGGGAGCCCGATGTGGGGCTCGATCCCAGGACCCCGGGATCAGGACCTGAGCCGAAGGCAGACGCCCAATGGCTGAGCCACCCCGGCGCCCCAGAATAGGTGTTTTTTCATGACTGGCTTCCCACGCGTAGCGTGATGGTTTCAAGGTTCTTCCGTGTTACAGCGTGAGCTAGCACTTTATTTTTTAGCTGATGACTATTTCACTGAATAATATTCCAGTTTACCATGTTTTTGTTGTCCAAGAACATTATAAACGCCAATTCATTTTTTTTTTTTTATTTTTGTAGGTAAACTTAAAGGTTCGTGCGAGTTTGGAGTCCAGTGTGCTTGTCTTTGCCTGCCTCATACTCCTCACAACCCCGTCGCAACGTGGGGGCTATCGAATGTACGTTAAATTTTGCTGAAACATTTTAGGATATAAAAGGGAACATTTTCTGTAATTAAAATGTTGTGTCACAGGCACAGACATGGAGGAATGAATGGAAAACTGAAAAAATGCCCCAGCATAGAGTAATCTCCTGCGTATTGAAGACAGTGTCCGCAAACCAGTAGGGAATAGGATAGGTTTTTAACCAATGTCATTGGAGCAGTGGATTATTTTTTAAAAAAGTTTTCTACAGGCGCCTGGGTGGCTCAATCCTTAAGCGTCTGCCTTCGGCTCAGGTCATGGTCCCAGGGTCCTGGGATCGAGCCCCACATCGGGCTCCCTGCTCGGCGGGGAGCCTCCTTCTCCCACTCCCACTCCCACTGCTTGTGTTCCTGCTATCGCTCTCTCTCTCTCTGTCAAAAGAAAAAAATGTTTTCTACAGTCTGTAGCAAAATAAAATAAATTCTAGGTGACTCAATACTCAAGGGTAAAAAATAAAACCACACAAGTGTGGAACTAGGACACAGTTGGAGATTTATGCCATCTCAGTAAGTCGGCTGGGCTGAATGTTCGTGCGCTCCCAAAACTCACAGGAAGCCCTACCCACCAGACTGAGTGTGTTAGGAGGTGGGGGTTTTGAGGGGGTGAGGAGGTCCTGAGGCTGGACTCCCCCAGGGTGGGATTAGAGCCTTTATAAAAGAGACCCCAGAGACCTTCCCTGCCTCTTCCGCTGGGTGGGGACGCAGCAGAAGGCACCAGCTGAGGCCCTCACCAGATACCAAATCTGCCAGCACCTTGATCTTGGACGTCCAGCCTCCAGAACTGTGGGGAATAAATGTCTTTGTTTATAAGCTGCCACATGCGTGGTATTTTTGTTATAGCAGCCGGGATGGACTAAGACAGTTGGGGGTGGGCCTTTTTAAGTAGAGTCCTCAAAGGAGAGCCCCGTGTAACGCATAAAAGTGAGGTTGACTTAACCACAGAGACCTTTAAGCTTCCATAAGCCAAGAGGATGGCTTTGTCACCTGTCTGTCACCATTCTGTTCTCTTTTGGTTTTCTGCTGCTGCTGTAACAAATCAGCATAACCCTATTGGCTTATAATACACACTTGCTGTCTTATAGTTCTGGTGCTGGGCTAAGATGAAGGTGTTGGCAGGGCTGCAGTGCCCCCGAGACCCGTGCTCTTTCTCATCTTCCTGCCGTGCCCGCGTTCTCGGGTGGTTGATATCTCCTGCTCATTTCTCATGGTGGCATGAGGCTGGGGAACCTCTAGGCCTCACATGTGTGTTCCAGGCAGATGAGGAAGGGCCCACACTGCTGGTGACTGAGCTGCGCTGGGTCACAGGGCCTCCCCTGGCTGGACGCCCCCGCCGAGGAAGGGGTGCGGGTGCAGCCACTCAGTGGACCGCCCTGGTGTCTGCCACGGGGGCTGTTTTGTTTCCATCTGTTTTCCAAGTTTACTCTGATGAACAGAAGACTTTATTTTTAAATTTAATTTTTATCTTTTTTAAAAAGATTTTACTTAATTAGAGAGGGAGAGAGAGAGAGAGAGAGGGCACGAGTGGGGGAGCAGCAGTGGGAGAGGGAGAAGCAGGCTTCCCGCGGAGCAGGGAGCCCGATGTGGGGCTCGATCCCAGGACCCTGGGATCATGACCTGACCTGAAGGCAGACGCTTAACCGACTGAGCCCCCCGGGCGCCCCCAGAAAACTTTTATAATAAAATCATTAAGTCTTTATAAAACACATTTATCTTCTTTTTGTGATTCTGCATTCTGTTTTTGACGAAATGGCAGCAGATGGGAATTTCCAGACGGGCATTTCAGCATTAGTTCGTAGTCCTGCCGCTGGCACACGGTCCGGGAGCAGAGGCTGCTGGAACTGGGCGATGCTGAGTGGCTCCCAGCTCCCAGCAGCCTCGTCGGCAGCGGCGCCTGAGGCCCTGCCGATGCGGTCAGGGCTGCGGCTCCCTGGGCTGAGGCCCATTTGCCCGGCAGGCTGAATGCCCCGTTGTGTGTGTGGCGTGGACCTGTGTGGCGCCATTCATCCCTTCCAGACGGGCCCTCGGGACCCGTGGCAGCTGAGGGAGAGTTGCTGCTCAGGCGTGTAGGTTACTGGGAACTGGTCCTTTTCCCGAGTTAGTGTGGGCTCTTGAGGAAGCCGGAGAGAAGCTAATCGGTTTTCCTTTCTTTTTAAACAGCATCCAGCATGTGTACGGCGCCCAGCACCCCCCCTTCGACCCACTGTTACACGGCACGTAAATGAGGCCTGTGGTCATGCTGCATCACGCACGCGCCTGGGCGTCCTGGTGACCCGCCGGCCTCCTCGGGGTCCTGAGGGGAGCAGCGTGGTCTTCCCTCGAGCAGACACGCGTCAGGGCCTCGCACGACTGGTCCTCCGGACAAGGGCAGAGGAGGAAGCCCAGCCCAAAGTGGAGGAGAGCACGAAGCTGGCACCCCCTTAGCTGACGGGAGGGCCTGGCCCCGGGCCTGTTCTCGGTGGTCAGCTCACTTCCCTTGCCCTCCACTGCACGCTCTGCCCCTGTGTCTGGCTCCTCCACCAGAGCCACGCAGGGGGCTGATGTGACCCCCCGCCCGTGCTGGCGGGTGTCACTGGGCCCCCCGCGGGGCCTCTTGCTCTAGTGGTGCTGTGTCGTGTCTGCACGCCGAAAGACAGCCGCTCCTGCCCCCGCCGCCCCCACTGCTGCCTTAGGAGGTTTGCGGGCACTGGCCCGGGTGAGGTTTGGGGACTCCCTGTGAATGCCGTGACTGCGGTGCTGGGGTTCCTCCTGAGTGGCTTCTGTCACTGAGCAGAGACTGCTCAGCGGTACTGCCCCTCGAGAGCCTCTCCTTCCTGCCCCCGAATCCTAGGAGTCCTCTTCTGTTTTTTTTTTTTAGGATTATTTATTTGAGAAAGAGAGCGAGAGCACAAGAGTGGGGGGTTAGGGAGGGGGGCGAGGGAGAAGCAGACGCCCCACCGAGCAGGCAGTCCGATGTGGGGCTCGATCCCAGGACCCCGGGATCACAACCTGAGCCGAAGGCAGACATTTAACCGACTGAGCCCCCTGGGTGCCCCAGGAGTCCTCTCTCGGATGCCTCTTTGGGTTGTGCTTGCTCTTCACCCTCAGCTCAGTTGACACTGGAAGCTTGAATGTGCACCTTTCATCCATGGGCTCCTTTCTGACCGGTCGTGGGGTGAGTCCGCTCCAGCCTCCGGGGGGACAGCTGAAGTCTGCCTTTGCTTTGCAGCTTGCTCAAGGGCGCGCCCAAGGCGCCCGCCACACCCGTGAAGGCCAAGAGCATCAGCACCTTCCCGGAGTTTGAGAGCAACACCAGCGACGCCTGGGATGCCGGCGAGGACAATGACGGGCTCCTGGCCGTGGCAGCCGAGAGCCTGAACACCGACGTGGTCATGGAGACGGCCCACCGCGTCCTGCGCAACCACAGCCAGCGGCAGGAGCGCCGCAAGCCGCAGGAGGCGCCGGGCCCCGAGCAGGAGCCACAGCCTTCGGCAGAGCCTCCTTCGGTCCCGAGCGGTGACCTCGGCTGGTGAAGTCCCTCAGCGAGAGCCACACATCCTGTCCTGCAGGTGGGCGGGGGCGCGAGGAGATGACGCGCAGTGCTGCGAGGGAGAGGGGCTGGAGGCCTCTCGGTGCGGGAGGTTAGCGGGCGTTCCGTCCTCTTTGCCACAGGAGCTCGTGCCCTTGGAAGACCTTGGGGTTGTGATCCACGTGCCCACAGGCCTTCCCAGGCAGGAGAAGCCGTAGACTTTTCTTTGTGTCCCCAGCTGAGTGCTTCTCTCCTCCGGGTGGAGGGTGTGCTGTGTGGCTTTCGTGGCCTGGCTGTGAGAGGCCCACAGTGAGCACCAGGCCCCAGGGGACTGTGTCTCCCTTCTAAGTGTGCCCCGGTTGTCCCAGGGGGACATTTCCAGCTCAGGGGCCAGGCCAACTGCACATTCAGAGGCTGCACCTCCTCCGGCAGCTTCCAATGACACCCCCTCCCCCGCCGGGACACCTGCACGTGGCTCAGAGTCTGTAGGGGGCAGAGTCTGGGGTGTGGAATGACTGCCTCCAGGTCATACACTCAAGGATGCGATCAGCGCATGTCTCGTACCCCGTGCCTGGTGCTCAGTAGCCTTTCTGGAGACGGCTCTCAGTAGCTTTGCTTTTTGTTTTTGGGGGTGTCTATGATGTAAAACAACACAGTGTTTGATGAGCCTCTGTGATGGGCCAGACTCTTAGGGCTTGGGGTGCCCCCAGGAAGTCCCTGGCCTGGAGTGTGTGTTCTGGTGAGGGGGACAAGCACTGACCTACACGTTGGGTCAGTAAGGAGGCCTGGAGCGTGCGGGGAGGAGACAAGCGCCCTGGGTCGAGACAGAGGTGGGAGGTGGTGACAGCAGCCTGGACCTGGGGCGTAATCTTCAGTCAGAGCATCCAGATGCCCTACTGAGAAGGTGACACGTGAGCATCAGTGAGGTGAGGCAGTGAGGCGTGGGGAGCTGGTGGCAGAGGGGCCGGCCTGCACCGCGGCGGACTCACGGCCTCCCTCTCCCAGGGTCTCTGGGGGTCAGGGGGACTGCCCCTTGTTTACAGAGGAGAGAAGAGGGCATCGGGCAGCCTCAGCTTGCCCTGCTGGGACCACGGAGCTGGCGTTCATCCCCCTGTCTAGTTTTCAGAAACCCTTCCCGGGAGCTGACTAATGTTTGGAACATCACACGTCTTCGTGGGTGAGAACGCTGTGAATTAGTTCCTTTGACCAGTTTTCATATTGGAATCTGAACTGTTTTTCTCCAAAATAGGCTGAACTTCAAAGTATTTGAGTTTAAAAATGAAAATCTGTTTAGGGCTTCTGCGAGTGGGTCGGGGTTCCCCGAGACTGACGCATCCTATGCCGATTACCGCCTGCGCGCCCCGGCCGGGCAGTGCCCTCAGCCTGGGTGCCTGTTCAAGTTGGCAGGTGCCCCGGATTCCTCTGCCCTCTGCTGTGCCCCACGCCTCTGGGGCCTGGGTAGAGCCTCTGTGACACCTGCCATCTGAGCAGTTGCTGGGGGGCGGGCCTCAGCACCCGTAGAGGTGGGGGCCCATCTCGGCTGAGCGGGCAGGCTCCTGTTCTCTCAGGCCGTGGGGCTGCTGCGAAGAGCACCACAGGCCGATGGTGCATGAGCAGCAGAAAGTTAGGTCTCCTCGTTCTGGAGGCCGGAAGTCAGGTCAGGCGGCCAACACGGTTGGGTCCTGGCTCTCTTCGGGGCGCAGACAGCTGCCTTCTCACAGTATCCCAACATGGGGGAGACTAGAGAGGGGAAACGGGCTGTCTCGTGACTCCTCAGGAGCACCGATCCCATCAGGGGACCCCACCCTCCTGACTTCCTCTAAACCTGAGGCCCTTCTTCCTAACACCGTCCCGTCTGGGGAAGGACTTGCGCATACGGACTTTGGGGCCTCACGGCATTCAGCCCATGGCCAGGTATGCAGTTGGGCTGCATCCTGCCAGGGTGGGGAGCCTTGGGGTGGCCTCCTCCTGTAAAAGCCAGGTGAAGGATACCCCAAGCGGCTCATGCTGGGGAAGGGGCCGATTACTGTGTTTGCCTTCTGCCTCCACCCGCTTGCGCATCAACCATCTTTCCTTTGCTTTCTGAGCAGGCTTTTTGTGAGCAGTTCATTTCATGATAGCAGCTAGTGTTTGTCCATCGCTTACTGTGGGGCAGAGACTGTGTCGGGCCCTCGTCATGAACAGATCCCTCTGACTTTGCAGCCAGTCTAGGAGAGAGCTTACGGGGGAGGTATAGGGAGGTCACGTGGCTCGCCCAGCATGCTGAGCGGTGGGGTAGGGTTCAAGTCCAGGGCGTCTGAGGCCAGGGCCTGCTGCTAGCTGCTGACCTCCCCACAGAGAGCAGGGCCTCTTCGCTGGTGATGCCGCCCCCAGGGGACATGAGGTCCTGTGTTAGGACCTTTCCTGTTAACATCTGGGGCAGGGAGTGTGTGCTCCTGGCATGAAGTGGGCAGAGACCAGGGTGCCTGGCCCCCAGGGGACTCTCTGGCCCGACCGTGCACAGTGCCAAGGGGGAGAGGGCCGCTCTGGAGCCCAAGGTGGCCTCTCAGGGAGCCGACCCCACGGGTGGCTGGCAGTGGTGCGCAGAACTCGTGGGCCTGTGTTCAGTTCCCTTGGTGGGCTGTTAGTCGTGGGGCTGGCTTACTCGGTGTTGGCGCTAAGACGACCACGTCAGCCCTCATTCTTACTGGGCTGGGCCCGGCGCAAATGTGTTGACTGGCAGGCAGTCTAGTGGGGAAACACAAGGATCTGAGTCTTTCACCTCCCTGGGTGGAATGGAGCCTTGGAGTGATGGACAGGACCCAGAAGCACCCAGGGGTAGAAGTCCCAGTTCAGTCTTGTTGAGGAGGGCCAGGACGTGTCAGGGAAGGCTTCACGGAGGAGGTGATGTCTCTAAGGTTACCCGTAGGGTGAGGCTCCAGGCTTAGGAGGTGGGGCCATCCCAGCCGAGGGGAGGTGCCGGGTGGGCTGGGCTGGCTGACTGCACACCTCATCTACGTGGTTTGCAAGTTCCCCCAAGGCAGGGACCATGTCCCATTACCTTTGTTTCCCTTTGGGGTCCTGTGTCATTACGTGAATGTTGCTGAGCTAAACTGAGGTGTCTTCAGGGCCTGGTGACCGCGGGCTCTCCCCTCCTCCATGTTCTGCCCCACTCTTGTCCCTGCACCGGCCCCACAGCCCAGGGCCAGGCCAGGCCTCTGTTGAGGTGAGGGACCTGTGAGTGCCATTTCATGTGACTGTGCTCCTCGGAGCGGAGTTGTGTTTCTGGGGCCTGGACGCTGTGTTTCATGGGGCCCAGTGTGATCAGAGTGCTGCCTGCCCTTCCCACTGCCGGCATTGTGTCGGTGCCTGTCCCTTTATGGTGCGCCACCGTGGGAGCTCACGTCACCCCACGCAGCGTCCACAGGGCCTGCTGGCTGCCCTCGCCTTTGGCCCTCAGCCCTGGGTAGATGACAGCCTGAAAGTTCCGGGATGCTGCAGCAGGGGTCTCCGGCTGGCCTTCCCCGCGCCTCCTGCTTACCTTTCGACTGTCCTCACTTTCTTAATCAGCGTCTGAGGTATCTGTACCTTTGTATCTGAAGTCAGATGCCCTTTGCTTGGTCTAGGGTGCCGCTGGCGTAATGGGGAGCCTGCGCCTTTGGCTGCGAAGGGCTCAGTGGGCGTGGCTGGGGAGGACTGTCCATCGCTGATGGGGACTGAGATGCAAGTGGGTCCTGGGTGGACACTGGCTGCCCCGGAGGGGGACACTGATGTGTTTTCCACTTACAGTAGCAGGGAGACCTGCTGTTGACCTTCCTGCTTCCTCGGGGGGCAGGGGGCATCACTGTGCCTTGCAAACCCTGCCCGTCCCATCTTAGAGGGGGACCGGATGTGTGCTCTGCTCAGGACGACGTGGTCCTTACATGTCGGAGTAGATCACAGGGATGCTCTCTAAGATGGCGGAGAAGTAAAACTCAGCACGTTTGGTTCCGCGTTAGAACGAGGAATCCCTCCCCCCGCCCATCGTCTTTCCTGAGGAATCATGACGCACAGCAGAGTGGCAGATTCTGAGGGCGGGGAGGAGGGGGTCTGAGCATCACTGCCCTGGGCCTCCCGGAGGGCAGGCCGGTGGGGACACCTCCTCCAAGCGAGGGGTCAGCCCTGCGGAGGGGCTGGGACTTGCCCTCACCTCGACGCCCACCTCTCCAGGCTTTTCTGGAAGCTTAACTGGGCCAGACACTGCTCCTCTGTAGCCTGAGGGTTTCTGTGTGAAGCCTTTCCGGGCCGCGATTTTAGGGTAATGAGTCAGCTCTGCGGGAAGAAGGGGGTCGGTGGGAGTCTGAGAGCGGCGGCCAGGAGCCGGCATGTTTTGTTCACTTTGTTTGGTTCCCGCCCCATCTCCTGGAGTTGGTTTTTTCCTCTACTTTAAATTTCAGTTCTGGGAGATGTGACCATTCAAGGGTATTTAGACCTGGGGGTGTACAGCCTGGTGCTGCCTGTTCCTGTGGGCCCCTCGTTGGTCCCTGGTGGCTCTTTCTGAGTGGGTGTTGGGCCTTGGGCTCTTTTCTGTGGCTCTTCCTGGTCCGGGTTCCTGGATTTAACGCACGGTTTCACTTCGGCCCTGTGTGTCCCCGTCGGTGGGCCTTTGTGCGTGGTGGTAGGTGGTGCCCTGGGGCGGGGGGTGCTGGGCAGGCCTGCAACCTGCTGCCCCTCCCCTGCTTGCATGCGCTCTAGCTTCCTGTGCTTTCTCTTGGTGATGGTCCCTGCCCGCCTCCCTCATGGGGCTTGGGGAGATCCAAGGGGTGCAGTGCCTTTGTGGGCTTCATGCTCCTCCACGTGTGGCTCGGTGGCTTCCTTCTGTGCTCAGGCCCAGGTGAGCCCCACAGGCACCAGCAGATCCTTGGGTTGTGTCACCTGGGCAGGCCTGCTAGCAGTGGGGGAGCCGGGGGGGTCTGGAGTTTTCTGGTTGTCGTTTTGCTTTTGTGTGAGGCATGTCTGTTTTCCCAGGTAGTAACGCTCTACCAATAAGGCCAGTGGGCTTCTTGGGTGTTCACTAGTTTCACTTTATTGCCCCGGTCACGCGGGTCTGCACTGGCCGGTTAGGGGAGGAGGGGATGGCTGTGGCACGGTGGCGTTCCCGAAGGGCAGGTGGCGCGGGTGGGAGCCTTCTTACTGGGGAACAGGGCCGTGGGGGGGGTCCAGGAGGCCGTCCTCACCCCCTGCGCGCTCTCTCCGCAGATAGCGCCGGCGACACTGCTCCTCTGCAGCGGTCCCAGTCTCTCCCACACTCGGTGGCGGCCGCCGTGGGTGGCACGTCTGACCCCAGCGCCCTCAGCAGCTCAGCGTTAAGTGAACGAGAGGCCTCCCGGCTCGACAAGTTCAAGCAGCTCCTTGCCGGCCCGAACACAGACCTCGGTGAGTCCCCCGCTGGCGGAGGGCACGTGCACCTGCGCCCCCACGTGTGGTTTACTTTGTCAGAGGGCGATGTGTTTGTGCCGTCCTGCGCGAGTCACAGAGATGAGCCGTTTGTCCTTGAGGTTTACTTCAGCTGTGTGTTGGTCATGGGCTTCCGGGGCCATTGATCTGGTATTTTCTGTTCTGTTCTATTTTTTAATGCTCCGATTGAACTCCTTTGGCTTCTTGGGGCTGAACTGGTTTGCTCCACAGGACTGGCCAGCTTGGTGTCCCTGCTTTTCAGAGTCTTCGTGGGGACACAGAGCTGGTGACCGGGGTCCTGAGTGCTGCTGACTTTACACCTTCCTTGGTGTAAAGTGTGGGATAGGCCGTGAACACCCCGGGAGCCCAGGCGGGGCTGGGGTGGGCGGGCCAGCAGGGGGCCGTACAGTCAGCAGTGTGGTTCTCAGGGGTCACCATGGCCGCGGGGCCGCTCTGCCACCAGGCTCTGAGGCGGGTGCTCGCCTCCAAGTCCATTTGCTGGGCTTCCCCTCGAAGCCGCGTCCTTTCCTCGGTACGTCTCATCTTTGCGGAGTGCCACGCTGCATCGGGCATCTTGCTGGCTGCGGGGGCTCTCCGGAAGGTGGGATGTGGCCGCGGTCACGAGATCACGCATGGTGGAGGGTGGGTGCCAGGGTGGCACGGAGGGCTGGCGCGCCTCGGCAGCAGTGCCCCGCTCCGCCAGCAGGTGGCGCGTGAGGCACACGGCTGGGCTGCCCAGCAGGGAGGCGGGCGGAGGCGGAGCGAGCATGGAGCTGAAGGATAGGCCGCGTCCCTGAGGATGCTGCTCCCCTTGTGGGTGCAGAAGGGTTCCTTCCCGCGAGTTTCTGCGTTTTCATTTTCCTGATTGATTTGCTCACGCACACGTAAGACAGTCACGCGGCACCAGAGGATGTGCGGTAAAAACGTGCCGCTCTCCTCTTCCCCAGGCCTGCTTTCCCTCCTTCGCGTGATTCCAGGTGTCTTCTTCCAGGGACAGGAAGGGAGGCCTCTCGTTCTCTTAACGCTGAGCTGCTGAGGGCGCTGGGGTCAGATCACGCACATGACGATGCACGTGACGTCTTAAACCTTTTATTTTGGTGTAATTTCAAATGTAGAAGAAAGTTGCAAGAACGGGTTAGGGTTAGGGTAGGTGACCCTGTGACCCATGCAGCCCCACAGTCAGCATGTTGGGGCCAGGAACACTCCCCCTGTGCTGAGCTCCCGGGCAAACCCTGCAGGTCCCCTCCCCTGGCTGACCCCCTGAAGGTTCTGTCCCCACCTGCCATGAGTTGGAAGTCCCCACAACCTCCTCTTCAGGTTTGGATAATCTGCTCCAGTGGCTCATGGAATTCAGAGAAACATGTGTGATTCTTGGGCAGCCATGAATCTCAGCTTCTTCATGATGGGGGGCAGCCCAGCAGCTGAGTGACCATGCAGGGCTGCCTCTGCTTTTATTTCATTTTTTTATCAGAAAAGCAAGGGCAGTTGCCTCAAAGCGTGGGAGAGGAGGACAAAGGGATGGCAAGTATCCTGAAGTGGTAAAGCAGTCCTGCACCATCCCCTAGGGGCAGGCACTCAGGGAGGCAGTCATGGGATAAGGGAAAAGCAGGATATTTGTGCTAGCAAGCACCAGGTGCAGAAAGGGGACCTGAGGGTTACATTCTTTCCTAGCTCCTAACCTGTGCCCTGCCCCTGGGGATCATGGGATCCTGCTCCTACTGGGCCCTTGCGTTCAATAGTCTGAGAACAGGAACGCTGTTGACCTTTCAGCTGCTTCCACAATCACTCCTGAGGGCTTACAATATATTTTCTAAGAATAATTCCACACTTCCTCCGTGAGGTGGACTACCTGGTATGCACAGAGGTGGACATGAAGTTCTGCGACCACGTGAGTATGGAGATTCTGGCCCCCCTCTTCGGCACCCTGCACCCCGGTTTCTACCAGGCAGCCCGCAAGGACTTCAGCTACAAGCATTGGCCACAGTCCCAGGCACACATCCCCAGGGACAAGGGCGACTTTTACTACATGAGGACCTTTTTTGCGGGGTCGGTGGTAGAGGACCAACTGACCTTGGCCTGTCACCAGGCAATGGGGGTCAACCTGGCCACTGGGATTGAGGCTGTGTGGCACAATGAGAGCCACCTGAACAGGTACTTGCTGGACCATAAGCCCATTAAGGTGCTGTCCCCAGAGGACCCGTGGGACCCTCAGCTGCTGGGCTGTCCCCGAGAGGACCTGTGGGACCCACAGCTGCTGGGCTGCCCCTGGAGGACCTGTGGGATCCACAGCTGCTGGGCTGCACCCCATCATGAAGAAGCTGAGATTCATGGCTGTGCCCAAGAATCACCAGGACATCAGCAGTCGTTATTACTTGAGGAGTCATTTTGGTGCCCACCAGGTCTGTCACTTGAGTTAACAGATGAGCCCGAAGGAAGGACGTCATCAGTTAGGAAGTACAGACGAAGGTCAGAGTGGAGGTGGGCAAAGGCCTCTTTAACTCAGAGAGTGGGGGAGCCCCGAGCTTCTTCTACACACCTTGCCCTGCTCATCGATTCCAGCTGCCTGGCTCTGAGTTCTGTCCTTTTAATGAACTGGTCATCTAGTAAGTAACATGTTTCTCTGAGTTCCATGAGCCACTGGAGCAGATTATTCAAACCTGAAGAGGAGGTTGTGGGGACTTCCAGTCTGTAGCCCATAGCTCAGAAACAGGGGTGACCTCTCTGCCCAGCCACTGGCTGACCACTGAGTTAACAGCACAGGGATTCAGTGGCCACACACAGCAAAGAATACAGACTTGACAAAGTGAGTTCAGAAAAGTCACTAAGCCAACAGTAGCAACTACAACGAGCAGCAATCATGAAGCCTGGAGTGGGGAAGGTCTGATGTTCAGGATGCTTCCATTATAATATTCATAATCACAGCCTGGACTTGTCACTGGGGCCAAGTCCCCCGGCTGGGGGTCAGGTAGCTCCTACATATTCCACGTGCCTCTCTCTGGCTCCCCCAGCCGTGCACAGTCCTATGCTGCTTCCCAGCAGAGGTCGGTTTTAACCAAAGCCAGGAACATGGGATGGGTTTTCCTGACTCCCCACCCCCTGCCCCACAGAGCTGCAAGAGAGGAAAAAGATTTCCTCAACCCTGTTAAGGTCCCCGGCTGAGTCTGGAAATTGACAAAGACAGATGAACAGGAGAAAAGCAAGCAAAATGTATTGGTTGCTTTGGTGGGAGCCTCACAAGACCATGAAGACCAGCAGAGGTGACTGGAGCAGACAGCTCTTCTACCTTTTAGACAAAGAAGCAGTAAGTGTGTGAAGAATTGACAGACGCAGGGGTTTGGACTAGGGCTCGTAAACGGTAAAGAAGTAACTAGGAAGATAAGGGTTAGTTTAACCAGGTGTGTGTGTATAGACCCCGTGGTCCTAAATTCCTTGACTCTGGTGATAAGCACGTCATCTCTGTGGTCCGGGGCGAGAAAGTTCCACATGGCAGTCTTCTGACCTGCTTAAGGGAAAAAGGGCTGATGGCTGGGGGTCAGAGAGACCTTCTTGCTTTGCTCTATGCAAAAGTTCTTTTAGCTTCTGTATTTATTTTGCCAAGGTGCCATATTCGGGGTAGTGTGTCCTGACCCTCACTGGCCTGGTGCTGTACTCTGTCTCCTAGTATCCAGGACATTGGATGTGCTGCTGTGGAGACCTTCCAGCCCTGGGGTAGCCCCTTGTCCAGGGAGGCACCTGCCTCAAGGGGAGGGTCGCTAAGGGTGGCCGCCCCTCCTCAGGGAGATTGGGTGGGAGAATGCAGATCTTACTTCGAGAAACTGACTTTATTTCCTGAAAAGGTCTACCTGATAGTGGGATCATACGGGAGTTCTTTTTTTAGTATTTTGGGGAAGCTTCATCCTTTTCCCAGCATGGGTGTGCCAACCAAAGTCAATTCCAGATGATTTTTACCTATAAACCAGAGATTTTGCAAGAACCTCTCCAGCACAGAACATGAGGAGAACAGTTTCAAGACCTTAGACAGGCAGAGATTTCCCAGGATGCAAAATATACTAACCGTAGGAACAAACTGGTGACTTAGAAACTATGAAATGAAGAACTGGTTCTCCTTCTTCCATTTCTGGCTAGTGTGCTGGTCTGTGCCTCGATCTCACCTCAGGCAGCTGAAAGGTTGACCTCCCAGGTCAGCTACCACTGAGATGGCTACTGTTTCTAGAAATTCTTCGGGGTGTGGCCGGTTTTCCCCACCTGTGCACTGATCAAGTCGGCGACCTTGGACAGTGGAGCCACGGGTCCTCCAGGCATGGTTCTCCCCCAATGCCCCAGTAAAGCCATTCCACTGAGGGTTTAGGGGGACCGGAGCTGCCCCTAGGCAAAAACACCAGAGGTTCTCACTGTCCCTACCTGGCCTTCAGATGCTCCTCAGTTACTCCTGTGCCTATGGTGTCTTCCTGGAACCCTGACCTGGCTGGTTTTGGACAGTTTGTCCAGTGGTACCCTCACTTTCTGGGAGGGGGATTTGCTGGAATCCGCACTGTGTCCTGCAGCCCCACCGGGATCACTTTTTGAAGGCACGTCGCCTGGGCCATCTGAGGACTCAAGACTGTGGGTCTGTGGCTTGGAGGGATTCTGAGCAGCTGGTGGGATTCTGAGCGCTGGTGGGATGGGAGGGCTGCAAGGCCCAGAGGCAGGTTTCCAGGAAGCTGTCTGGGGTCCCCGGCATCCTGCCGTTTTTGAATCAAAGCCCTGAGATCTTTAAAATGCCAGCAACGTTACAGCATGGGCCAGAAAAGCAAATGTCCCTGTGCACCCAACACCACCTAAACTATTGGCCATTTCTTGTCACTTGAGTTGAGTAGAAAGGATTGGGAGTCAGGGCTTGAGGGGGGTCCTGGGTCAGACTTTGTGTTTGGGGGACAAAGGTCATCCGGACAAGCTTGTGCTGAGGCTGAGGAGGGGTTCTGTGTGGAGACCCCA